AAAAATTCCTTAAAGGCCTTTTTACCAGAAATTTTGCTGACAACAAATCATTAACAATGGAAACATGTGTCTTTACGCTAAATGATAGGCATATTAAATCTTCCTTCTCCTCAATATCGAATGGGTCAATGAAATTTGCAAATTACTGCAACCCTTTGTGGACATTTGTGTGACTTTGTTTGATCTTAAGTGGTCTCAGATGTTTTTGAGATGTCTCATCTGATTCGTAATTTCCGCTAATTCAAGGGAGGTTGTTATGTAGCTGCATCTGGTGTGTCTTGTTACACACAATCAATAATATGCAGGAAAAGTTTTGGTAAAGCCGATAATTACCCCATTTGACTTGGTATGTTGGTTTACTGTTTGTTCAGTAGTAATGTAGATTGCATTCCTTGAAGCTGTAACTGAAAGCCTAGAAACACTAAAACCATTATTGTGTTTATTTGTTTGTTGTTAAGCTGAAAACTACACAATGGGCTATTTGTATTGTGGCCAACACGAGTATTGAAACCCGGTTTTTAGCGGTTTAAGCCTTCAGACTCACTGCTGAGCCACTGAGGGGGGGGGGGTGTTATTTCGTAACAATGATTCTGCTCCAGAATGAGAAGTGAACAAATTAAGCAAATAAATGAAGTAGGCAGAGAGATACCAAGCGTAATTTGATGCTGAACAGTAAAGGATAAAGGTCTTGAATGAACAATAAATGCAGCAACCATACCCTGTGCAGGTATTGATCTCAAGACTGGGGAGTTTTCTTCATTGTTCTTTGCAATCAGAGTATTTTACAAACGGAATATAAAAGACTCTTTGTCAATTATTTTTTTATTAAGCTGTCTTTCTTTAGACATTCAATAATCAATCCTTGATAATATTTTTTGTTTCAACTCCGTAACTAAAGAATCGGAGGTGGTATATTCTTCAAATAAAAGAAACAAAACTCTTTCAATGATTTTTAATGTAAACTTATGTGCACACATTGCTCAGTTATAGTGCTTTCTAGACAATACTTTTTTTTATAGAACCACTAGCGCAGGTTCCTAATTCAATGATAATGTCTTCAAACCTTGATCCATGTAAAGTCTTTCCCAAAGCACTAAGATATGAACACATTGTGTATAAAATCTCTGGACCTACAATGACTTTTTACTGCTGCTGCTTTTAGTGAAATCTCAGCTACATATTTCACTAATCTCGCTTATTCAATGCAATATATTTTATTTATTTTCTTCTCACAAATAAAACATGTCACTGGGAAGTATAGTAGAGATCTGAGACCTTCGTCTTTTACCTGAGGAAAGTAATTCTTTAGTCATTTTCCTTGACACTTTTTCATTTACCAAGATACTTGATATTTGCAAAAGCCTGATAACGCGTACTGTGATACACATGTTTTGATTTATCAACAACGTTGGATACATTATGACAGACTCCATTTTATCTATTCTTCTCGTTTTCTAGCAATTGCTGCAAATTCAAATCCAGTATCTTTGTTCAATTAATTTCGTCTCACTTTGTTTGTTTGTATGAAGTTAAGCACAAAGCTACACAAAGGGATATCTGTGCTCTGCCCACCACGGATATCGAAACCCGGTTTCTAGCGTTGTAAGTCCGCAGACATACCGCTGTGCCACTGGGGAGCTTCCGATATGAATGACATATTCTCTCTAGGTACTATCTATTTTTATAAGCTTTCCTGGTTCGCTTCAAACTACCGGTTTTCTCGTCAGACATATTTATTTTTATAAGCTTTCCTGGTTCGCTTCAAACTAACCGGTTTGTCGTCAGACATTATTATTTTTCAATAACTGAGTTAATAACAGGCAAAAACGCATGCTAAGTAAGACACATCGGAAATATACTTCAAGAATGAAAATCGATGAACGCTGGGGAAGTATTTCATTTCCTAGTCTTTGACTCCACAAAACCCTAATTAATCAACTTTATCATTCTAATGAAGATTTTTAATTATTTTATACATACAGATGAATAGAAATAGAAATTAATAGATAAATATTAATTAAAAGTGCAAATAATAATCCTTTTTGTAATTCTTAAAGAATCTTCAATTTACCATTTTGACTCGAAAAATTTCATGAAAGATGTTATATGCTGACGTAATTCTGAAATCCCAAATTTGTAAAGAATTTGACATAAATGTGTTATAATATGAGCCCAAACAAATGACACTACGCATTCTTTAAATCAGCTCCATAGGAAAATTTTTATGTATTTGCATTTGGGGTAAGGCTACATTTTTGCTATCCTAAACATGCACACACTAAAGACAACAAATTAACGTAAATAGGCTTAGGATTCTTTGTTTGCTTCTTTGTAATTAAGCACAAAGCTACACGATGGGCTATCTGTGCTCTGCCAACCACGGGTATCGAAACCCGGTTTCTAGCGTTGTAAGTCAGAATACATACCCGCTGTGCGAATGGGGGGCTAGGCTTAAGAACATTAGGTAAGAGACTCATCTTTATGCTGAAACCAATTCTGAATTCATATGATATGTTATAAACTTCCCGATTCTGTTAAAGAAACGATAAAATCAAGAAATCGCGATTATCTCCCTTATTGATGATTTTATATATTAAAAAATCCACAATATTAAAACCTTTTTACAATCGTTTGCTGTTAGTTAATAACCAAGTATAAATCTGCTTAAAATAAGATTGAAATTTATGTTAGAATTATAAAAAACTAATTAAAAATAATTATTTT